TGACACTGTAATTTTTTCTTTATTCTTTTCTATACTTTCCAAATCTTTCAGAATTTATGAAAATTATGTTATAGTAAAATATGATAACAAAAGATCTAATATTAAATATTCAAATGTGCCATGCAACTTTTAAATACTGACTTTGATTTTTGGTTTCATAATTCAAAAGGGCTAACTTATCATGGTGAAAATTCTGTCTATAAAAAGGTCCCAAAGAAATAATAAGGGAAAGTTTTCCCTAGGAATTCTTGAGGAAAAACAAATCACGTAACAGTGCAAACCAACAACGTTAGGTGGCATGAGCGTACCAGATGCTAAGCCACAAAGCGTAACACTTGCCTGAAAAGAGCTTTGAGATTTTCCGGTAATTCAGTTCGACCAGCATATCCCGGGTTCATAGTAATAAATATTCCAACTGATGGCTTCAGTGTGATAGCTTCCCCAAGAAATACAAATCTACCGTAAAAAGAATGTTGATGAAATTAAAGGTGTTCATTGAATATGAATACACATTGACAAATGCAAACCACTGTAAAATGCAAATTATTATTAGGAAGCTGTTTATTCTGTGTGATTTCCTTTAAAATTCATAAACTTACATATTTTGAATATGCTTTGAAGTGTGTTTATTAAAAATACCCTCTTCTCCCCCCAGAGGAATTACAAATATGAGAAGCATTCTTTTTTATGTTAGCATAGCCATAGTATCCTGGAATGCAGAAATGAGGACTGGATTACTTTAACATTTAATGAAAGGTGATGGCATTTCTGCCTTCAGTGTGGACTCCAATTCCTTGAACGGGACGCTGCGCAGATGGAGAACGCCCATGCTAAGAACAGAATGGGATTCCCTGTTCAGTCTTTATTTTGCCTATTTACTCGCCCTCTCTCTCCCCCCTCCTTTCCTTCCTTCCTCCCATTTATTCAACAAATATCTACAGAGTATTACTGAGAAGTAGAATAACGTGGTGGTGATTATAGGCAGCTCTGGAGCCAGACTATGAGTGTTCAGAGTCCAGCGATAGCACTTTTGTCATGTTAATAATCTTCTCCATGTTTCAATTCCCTCATCTAGTTAAAAGAAGAAAGATAATAACATTACACACCTGATTGGATTATATGAAGATTTAAGAGATTACAAATATAAATGGCTAAATGTTAGCTGTGACGATTGCTATTATTATCACTGGAAGACATTGGAGAAACAGTGAAAGATTTTCAGAGAGATTTCCAATGGTCCAGTTAGGCTGCTGATGGCCAGGGCAACAGGATGGTAACCTGCTACAGATGCCAGACCAAGACACGAGCAGAAGAAAACTTTCAAATGAGGGTAAACGAGGCAAGATAGAAGGCCCACCTCTTGTGGAGAGAGGGGGGAGCTGACGTAGTTCAGGATCTGAGTCTATATCACAAAATAGGAGGGAAAAAGATACTGAGAAAGAAACTACAATGTTTAGAACTAAGAGCTTCTTAGACACTAGGTAATTGAGAGCAGGTGGATTGTCTACAGTCAAAATGAAAAAACAGAGGAATCTTCATTCCCCAGAATGTCAAGCTAGGGAAGGCAGACAGGCCTGGCAAGGCTGCTTTTGCCTACCCTCCTGCTGTACATAGCATGGACAGCCATAGTCAAAGATGTGGACCTCCAGCGGGTAGAGCCAGCAAAATGCCGGAAAGCTTTGTGATTGAAGCATGGTCCCATCTCTTAAATCCTCAAGTGTAAAGAGAATTTAATAAACTCAAAATCATGAAGGAGTTTTGCTGTCTGCAGACAGGCTAGCATAAGGATGAAGGGACACGACTCAGACATGCAGCGGAGACTATCAAGGAGTATGGTTGGGAATTTTTAGAATCATTGCATGGATCAGTTACATAAATCTCCATAAGAAAAGAGGGTTGCAAATGACATCTGGGTTACATAAATAAGATTTTGACTAAAAGTTAAATAAAATATGGCTGGGGATCCAAGATGAAAGAAGCGAACTTCTCTAACATGGCATTAGAGTAGGGGCAGGCCAGGCAACAGACACCTGGCCATAAAAAACTGGTGTCACAGGCCAACGTGGTGGAAGGACTGAGAGGCTTCTAGAAAGCAGGAACATCCAGAAGTATCTACTGAGAAACTGGAAATTTCTATGACAGATTCACAATTCCAAGAGGCTCTAGCTAATCCTTCCCTGATTGACAGATTGAAAATGTTCTTATGCACAAGAGAGCCAGCTGAGCATAATCCCCTAAAAAGTGGGGGGAATGGGTAGGCCAGATAAATGAGGTTGTACTGTGGACAAAAAAAAAAAAATTGGTTACAAAGAGGACCAGAACTGTGCTGTGTACTGAGACATTTATTTCTCAGATCAAGCCATCAAAGCCTAAGTGCTAGCTGTGTTTTGCCTTTTGGAGTATGGCATCATGTTGAGAAGTAGTTAGGTTTAGGATATATTTTGAAAGTTTTTGGCCCAAGTTACTGGAAGAACATGAAGGTAGAATCCACTGGGATGGGACAACTAACAAAGCAGGTGTTGGTGGAAAGACTAGGATTTTTATTTTGGAGATATTAAGTATGAGAAGCCAATGAGGCATCAAGTAGAGTGAGATACCCCAATGGGCAGTTGTTTAGGTCGATCCAGAGATGAGGGGAAAGAAGTGTAGATATCTGGTAGTCAGCAGCACAAAGGTGGCTTTTAAAAGTCATAGGACTGTATGAAACCACCAAGGATGAAAATATTAACAGAGAAAAGGAGTCTAAAACTGAGCCCTGTGATATCTAATATTAATAGGTTAGGGTGTAATGATAATAAATAGCAAACACTAACATGGTACCAGGTGCCAGGCACTTGTCATCACAGTAACCTATAAGGTAGGTACTCTTGTTTTCCCCATTTTATATAGGAGAAGAAACCAGCAAGGAAGCAGCCTTGAGGGGAGAGAAAAGTGGAGAGTGTCCTGCAGCAGGAGTGTTCAATTGTGCAGAGGCTGCCAGAAGCCAAGAAAGGTGCGGCCTGAGCACTGATTGCTGGATTTAGCATCACAGAAGTTGTTTGTTTTTAAGCAATTAAAGTAATGTAGTGTACTTTAGTTGTATTCAACACTTAAAAACCACTAATAAAAAATGGGAGGATATTCAAAATAATTCTTCAGAATTAACTGGACTCTTACTTAATCCATTTCGTAAGACAGGGAGAGGCAGCAACAGACTCTGAAGGTGAGGTTACCTGCTTCATTCCATGTTACTCTTTCTACTAGCAACAAGAGAAAAGCCACGTGCCACTCACCTCTTTCTGCTGTTTCTGATGGCATCGTGAATCATTTTCACTTGTACTGCCACCACTGACAGGACTTCCACAGGAATCCGGTTGAACTCATCAAAGCAGCCCCAAGCTCCTGTCTGCACCAATCCCTTGTAGATATTTCCTATGGACTAAAACAATGGAGGGAAGCATTCAGAATTTAACAGAAGGGGCTTTTACGTCGAATCATGTCCAATCAGGAATAATGGCGTTAGAATACATCATTTTCTTACTTTGTAGTCCATTTGCTCTGAGCAGTTGAATACATAAACCATCATGCCAAGTGCACGTCCAAGATCTTTGGTGGTTTCTGTTTTCCCTGTCCCCGCTGGACCAGCTGGAGCCCCACTCATAGTGAGATGAAGTGATTGAGTTAAAGTAATGTAACACCTTGAAGCAAATGGAAAACACAAATATTACAGTCTAATGTGAAATTTCTATAAAACATTAGGGGCAACTAATTTTTTAAAGAAAGTTTAAGAAGCCAGGGTCTCGAATGTGGGACTAGCACAAAATATTGATATACTTCTGATTTGTCCGTGGCAATAATGAGTCAGAATATTTTATATCAAATTTATTTTTAGGTTCTGTGTAAAAATATAGAATAGAATGTATTGCTTTGTTTATTGGTCTCATTTCCTAAGAGCTGTGTATTTGAATACAAACAACACTCAACTTGCAATGCTATTGAATTTCTGATATTTCTAAGACAGTATTAATATGGAATACAACAGTTCAAGCTATTTTTTATAAAAGAAAAATAGAAGTCTTGGATGATGAATGAATTTAACATTGACTACCTTAAACTGCTGCTTAATATA